CCAATTTAGGCTTAAAATGGCGAAAGTTAAATATTTTTGGAAAGTTTGATCGGGGGGTTGACTTTTTGATATCAGGGTTGGAATGCTATTCCGAGAGTTGGAATAGCTCCGTTATGTTATTTGGGACTTGTCTGTAAAATTTGACGTCATTCCGGGTTGGTTTGATAGGATTCGGTATGAGTTTTAGAAGTTGGAAGGTTTTGAAGTTCATAAGTTCGATTTGTGGTGCGATTTGTATTTTTGGCGTAATTTGATGTGATTTAAAACCTCGAGCAAGTCCGTGATATGTTATGGGACTAGTTGGTATGGTTGGACGGGGTCCCGAGGGGTTCGAGTGTGTTTCGGACCAAATTGGATCTGTTTGGACTGATGTTCCTGAAGTCTGGTTTCCTTCTTCACGAACGCGAAGGGAGTCCCGCGTTCGCGAAGAGGAATTTGAGGGGCTGATGATTTGTGCTTCGCGAACGCGAAGAAGGAACTGGGCAAGCCTTCGCGAACACGGCCAAGGAAACGTGAACGCGAAGAAGAAAGGAAGAGTGGGGCCTGAGGTCGTTTGGCCTTCGCGAACGCGAACGCAAAGGAGTTGGTCAGCTGCTCATCGCGAACGCGACGAGGAGTTCGCGAATGCGAAGAGGAAATGATGGGGCAGAAACAGTTGGCATTCGCGAACGCGACGAGGAGGTCGCGAATGCGATGAAGGATTTGAGACAGTTGGGTTTTGGCCTTCGCAAACGCGAAGCAATGGTCGCGAACGCGAAGAAGGCCTATCTGGGCAGAATTAAAAGTCCCAAAAACGGGGGTTTGAGTTCATAACTCAAAATCAAATTTGGAGCTCGGTAGAAGTCAATTTTTGGAGAGATTCTTGCGTGGGTGTTTGGGGTAAGTGATTCTTATCCAGTTTTGATTAATTTCCATGATTATGTCTTTGAATTCATCAATTAATTCAGATTTAATGGAGGAAAAATCAAGATTTTTGTAAAATCTTCCAAAATCAAAAATTTAAGATTTGGAGGTCGATTTGTTATTGGAATTCGATAAAATTGGTATGGTTGAACTCGTATCGGAATGGGCATTCGGATTTTATGAAAATTATGTTGGGTTTCGAGAGGCAAGTCCCGCGTTGAAGTTTGTTGACTTTTTGGAATAAAATTTTAAGTCGACGTATTATTATCCGGAATTATTTTCGATGAATTTTAATGAAGTTATACAATTAATTTGGTTAGATTTGAGTTGTCCGGAGGTCAATTCAAGCAAGAAGGTTATTTTGGAATATCAGCCTAATTTCAAAAAGGCAAGTGTCTTGCTTAACCCCGAGTAAGAGAATTTTTCCTTAGGCATTGAGTCTTATGTGCAAATTGTGTAATTGAAAACCATGTACGCGAGGTGACAAGTACGTACTTGGTTTATATGTGCAAAATTCATTGAATTAAAGTCTTAGGTATTATTGTGTAGTAAATTAAAAAATTGTGAAAAACTATTAAATCATCTGTTTGCCATGCCTAAATCCTTATTGTTGAATTTGTTTTTATATGATAATTTGATGCGATTGTTACTTGAAATATTTATGAAATTTCGTGAGTATTGTTGGTTTAATATTTCTTGGGAATTAATTCCAATATGAATTTTCTTATGCAAATAATTAATTTAAGTGAGTTTAAGAATAAGTGTTAATATAATTATCTAAATTTGCATTAATGAAGGTTTTGCTTTATGCTGAGTAATTTCTATCTCTATTGATTATTTTTGGGTGTTATATATATTGTGTGGAGCCTTGGGCTATTTGTTGTGAAATTAATTGATTTCTGTTATATGTTTGGAATTTGGTTGTGGCCATTGGGCAAATTGTGATATGAATTAATTTTATTATATTGCCGTGTTAATTTTTCGTGTAAATTGTTGTGTTGTGTGAGTTGTTATTGTGGGGAGATAAGGGTTGCATTTCACAATTGATATTATATGGGTATAAGGGTGGCATTTCATTGTTGTTATGGTTTTTAGAATATTGTCTGCGCGGAGTGATAAGGGTGGTTATAGGAGTGATAAGAGTGGCAATATGAGTGATAAGGGTGGCAATATCAGTGATAATGGTGGCTATTGATAATGTCTGGACGGAGCGATAAGGGTGGCAATAGGAGCGATAAGGGTGGCTATTGTCAGGGACGATATGTGATGATGTGGGGTTGTGGTGTTGATGATTTTCATGTGATGTTGTGATTTTTTTGTGTTTATTTTTATACCTTGTGCAATTTTTTTTGTTGTTGGTAAATTGATAACAATCTGATTTATGTTGAAATTGAGAGCCTGTGGCTATGGCCATGCGAATTATAAAATAAAATGTGGGCACGAGGTGCCGTGAGTAAATAATGAGGATATTTGGCACGTGAATTGTCCGTGCAGTTGATATATGAAATGTGGGCACGAGGTGCTGTGATGAGATGATAATGATATTTAGCACGTGAGTTGTCCGTGCAGTTGTGATATGAAATGAGGGCACGAGGTGCCATGGAAATATGATGATTTAATTCTGGGCACGAGGTGCCGTGGAAACATGAAAAATGGGCTGAGACACGTGTTTATGAAAAATATGAAAATGGGCTGAGACCCGTATTTTTATGATTTTGAAATGAGGTGTCACATGGTGACTTTTTAATTGAAAGGATTATATTTAAAATATTTATTTGGAAGGATTTTTACTTAGAAAGTATTATATAAAAGATATTTATTTGAGGAAATTATATTTGAAAAGATTTACTGAGAGAATTATATTTGAAAAATAATTATTTGAGAAAATTATATTTGAAAGAGAATTATTTGGAAGAATTATATGTGAAAGACATTTATTTGAAGTACTTGATTTAATTGGGTGTAATTATACTTATTAATTGTTGAGCGATATTAATGGTATTCTTGTTGTCTGTTGTGCATATCACTGGTTGTTTCATGTTGCTCTGTTGTTATTTGTTTCTTATTATCTTATATATTATATTGCACAGGTTCTTAGACTAGTGAGTGTCTTGAATGTACCTCGTCTCTACTCCATTGAGGTTAGTCTTGATACTTACTGGGTACCGACCGTGGCGTACTCATACTACACTTCTGCACATTTTTGTGCAGAGCCAGGTATTGAAGATAACGGACTTGAGCAGAGTTAAAGCGAGATCGTAAGGATTCAAGGTAGAGCTGCTTGGTCGTCGCAGTCCCTTGGAGTCCTTTCATTTCATTGTACTGTTAACTTGTAATCAAACAGTATTGTATATTCGGTCCTCGTGATCATTCTATATATTCAGTTAGAGTTCGTGACTCAGTACTACCAGTCTTGGGAGGTTGTATATTGTAAGTATTTCCGCTGTTAGTTTTGATTATTTATTTAATAAAAAAAAATAGTTTCAAAAATGCAATGAAAATCGGCTTACCTAGTCTTAGAGAGTAGGTGCCATCACGACTCCTGTGGTAGGATTTTGGATCGTGACAGTAATATGGGAGATGGGGTAGTATCATAGACAAATAGTAAATAGGTAAACTAACCTAATATCACACCAGCAAAAGATTAGCTTTAACAGCAAGCAGAAAGCAGCAACATAACCGTGGCTTTAACCGCGTCCAAAAATAGCAGCAAAATGCCTTTAAATGCATCCCAAAACAGTAGCAAAATGTGGCTTCAACTAAGAGAGCAAGTGAAAGTAAATATGTTGTATTGCTAGAGAGTTCCAAGAGAAAATTAAACAATGCTGAGAGGTGCAAGAACAAGTGTGCGTAGGAATTACACATGTGTTGAGATATTTTTTAGAACTATCATATTAATTACATCTTAAAATTAATTATATGAGCAGATAAAAGAACAACAACTTAATTAAAAAGTTCAAATACCTTACAATTACTTTTTTAAAGGAGGAGTCTTTACTTCCAAGGCCTACTTGTAGTGGGAAGCATTGTCTTTGTTAGTTGTCTATTGAGATTCTCTTCCCTCCGAGCCAAGACGTTCAATTTTGCGTTTGCTCCCCTCGGCAACATCCATCATGGTTGGCGGGAACTCTTGGTGGATCTCATTATCTTTGTTCATGTAAGATAAAATGGACAACTTTTGCACTGTATCATGATATTTTGTAAATAATATTTTCATTTGAATTTTGAATATCTTTCCACTCAATTGTTTCTGCACATCCGCAAGAGGTGAAATTTGTTTCTGGGAGGACGAAATTGGTTAGTTGCGCATCAAAAGAGGGTCATTTTGCCATTGATACCTGTTTGTATGTTTTTGAAGCTAACAGTAATATGAAATATGTACCTTGACATGGTAGATGTCATAAATTTCTTCTGAACTGAGGCTTAACATTTTCTCGGCAGGTTTGTCAGAAATAATGGCTGTTGCAAAACCACTATTGTCTCTAACAGTGACTTCAAATTGACATCGGTTATAATGTAGAGCAAATATTTAGTTAGATGAATAAAAACAAAACAACTGTAAACTCTAAATAGTCATATAGAAGAATCTAGTAGAATTTATACCTTGGAATTCGATGAGTGGATCGTTGACAATTTGTACAATAAATTGTTCTCCGAGAGAAAGATCTCGTGAACAGTTGCTTACAGTCAGAACAAGATAACACACAAAAGCGTTGGTTCTCATTTGGCAGAGAAAGTTCAGCCACGACATAAAATACCTGTCCCTATATAATTCAAGAATGCCACATATTTCTTTTTTGTGACTACTAAAAATAATTAAATTTTGGTAGAATAATATAATTTATGTTGTTCTTACTTGAGGTTGCGCTTGGATATTGGAAATAGCTATGATTTCATCCTCAAAGAGAACCACCATAACATAGCTGGTGGAAGATATACTCTTTACCTTGTACGCGTTAAGCATTGGTTCAATTGTTTTGGCCCTACAAGAAAGTTAAAATCTAAAAGATTTGTTCTTGTATATATTAATGCATTATATCAACAATATGTTTCTACAGATGCATAATTCACAAAGAAATACATGCATAATGCTATGACTTCAACTCAACAGCTTGTGGGTAAGGAGGATTGAATTGGATTGTTGTACTAAATTTGTTCGACAGTCTACTGAATTTGTTCGACGATCCTACATGCATTCAAATATTAAGATTTGATTTTATTGTTTGATATTTGAAAAGGAAAAAGATAAAATCATGTATGTACTAATACCTGATGATGATCTGCTAATTTTTCTAGCAAGAATAACCGGGTATTCATTCAGTTGTTTCAAAAGTTTATTCCCATAAAGATCAATGAAATCTTCCCAGAGTGTGAATTTTGTTGTTTTTTTCCTGTAAAAAATGAATAAAGTATGTTCAAATAATATATTGGAGTAACAAAAAGTAATAGCTAAGTTTGAAAACTTGGACCGTAAAATAAACCTCAAATGTAAGACATTCTTTATTATTTACAAGGTAATGTAAATTCAGAAGTCTCATGAAGACACAAAAACTGAAAAAGTAAAATACCTGCCATGTAAATAAAACCTCCCAAACATGTGAGTTGCAAAAAACAAAAGAAGTCCAGTGCTTAGGGAAACAAAGAACGAAATATTTTACTTTGCAATCACTGAAATCAAGCATCCAAGCTACATCTCATATACCTGAAGTTTAGGAGTTCAATATGAAACAATGAACAATAACAAATATCTAGCTCAGCCAAAACAAGGATGTCCACATACAATGAACAACGACAGAGAGTCAAAATGCACTTAACATATCTGCAATGTTTGGAAAATTGCAAAGGTTGGTAAGAATTGGCCTTTTGAATCGATTAGCGTATAAGTCAAAAATCTTTCTCATAACAAGTCAATCTCCTTTTTATGACACTATAGCTTTTTGTATTGTTCTAAAACTAGTTCAAATAAATTAAAAGCCAGTTTTATTCTGGCCAAAATGTTCCCTTAATATATCATCAGGGCAACAAATTCTGTTGATCTCAAGGAAAGAACTAAGCCATTCACACATCTATTGGCTATTGTATTACATCAAGAATACATATAAGGCTATTCATTTTCAATAAAAGAATGCCCTGCTTTCCTAAGAAAAACTTTGGCATTATGAAAATATAAGATGGAAGTTACACCTTCAATCTGGTTAAGGTAATGCACAAAGTCACAACCTAAGGGCTAAGACGTTATTTTTCACACACTGCATTTTTCAGAATCTTAATAAAGCCAATATCCTGAGTTTTAGCATGAAGCTTTCATTTCTATGTGTGCTTGATTTAACAAGAACCATATTACAAGGGTGCGAGTGCTTCACCCTCTTACCACTCAGTAATACTATACTATTGAAATATAATCTCATACTAAAATGCTGCAAATGGTTAAAAAACTAAAGTTCTGAATTAATGTCATATATATGATTTCAAATTAAACAATATATAGGCATTGCTAGACGATGCAAAAAAAACAAAACAACATCATAGTTGAATCATGTGCAATCTTTTTTTGCCACAAAAAGATAAAACCAGCAGCTACAGCCGAAAAAAGAGATGTGGTTGATGAGGAGGAGGAGGACGTGAAGGAAGATAAGGAACAACAAAAGAAACAGAGGAAAGGAATATGAGGAGGTGTATCCTTACTGCTTATCCATAACGATAAATTCTTGAATTCTTCTTCCATTTGCAGCATATGTTGAAGGGCCGCCATTAATCACAATAGCAAGGATATCTTACGTTAAACCAAAAAAAGAAACAACAAATAAGTTAATACATTATGAAAATCATTGTGTCATAATAATTAAAAGATTTTTGAGATGGTACAATAAATAGATTGTATATGCACAAATATAGATAATTAAATCTTTAAATACCAAATTCAGATTCTTTGGGTTGATACTCGAAAGTGTCAAACGCAATGATAGTTAGCCGCGTTGGCGGAGGTAATGGATCCTGGGGAGTGACCTTTTCAATTGGCTCAACAATGGTGCTTCTATCAATTGTCCAAGTGAATTTGTTAAGTGGATTTCCATATAAATAAGATGACTCCTTCACTTGTGCAACTGACACCAAGTAAGTGTGAAAAGGATCAAATAGGTCTTCAAAATGCGTTATATCAGCATTGAACATGATGGTCTGAATTTGATTTTCCTGTAAGAAAATAAGATACAATTAGATTATAATCATATTCAAATAAATTGGGGAAAATTATACTAGTAAAATATACCAAATTTTAATATGAGCAACCTCTAATATATGAGCAAAAAATGGATTAATTCAATTATTTTTGGCAAAATTGTGAATTTAAAAAAGAATACCTCTTCATCCTGTAGAGTCATGAGTTGATATTTTTTTGGTTTTCTCTTTGTTGTCTTTGGGACGACCTTTATCAATTACTTGGATCTTACATGTCTATTCTTCTGTTTTGGGAGTGATCATGTTGATAGTTAACCTTTCACCCATAGTGGAATTAATCTGCAATTACAACATATTAATATTAGTATAACAGTATAAATTAACAATAAAAATAGACAAGGTTTAATATAAATGAAAGAATATAGAAAAAAATCAAGTTATAATTAGATTTACCATAAGAAATTGTAGCATATGGTCAAGAAAAAGCTTTTTTAATAATTTCATCATAGACTATATTATATGTAGAGTGATCATCGTCGTCGTCAGCTGTAGGTGGTCTAATTAATACTTTCACACAATTAGAACTTTTGGCTCTTGATAAAGCAACATACAATTGACCATGAGAAAAGACAGGTTCGCGCAAATAGATACCCACAAAATCTAATGTTTGACCTTGACCTTTGTTTATCGTCATGGCGAAACATAATCGAACTGAAAATTGCGTTCTATTAAAAGGGAGAGGTAATTTCTCATCTTCTGATGTCATGAGTGGTATTCGCAGAATAAATACATGTCTATTTTTAAAATCGCCGCTAGATATTGTTGCGCTGATGACATGACTTTTAAAATTATTACATATTAATCGTGTTCCATTGCATAAACCTTCACTGGGATTCAGATTTCTTAATAACATAATCGGACAATTTTTCTTCAAAGATAATTTATAAAAATCTTCATACTCACTCTGATCTTTTGGATCAATTGTCTCATCAGTAGCAATATAAACTTTTTTGGTGGATGGAAATTGAGCAAGAAGCATGTCATTTATATCATCAATAAAATTATTTTTGATTGTTAGAATAGCACGAGAAGTAATAAAAGAAGCATTTGAATGAAATCTGTATAAATCAGGATAAGTAACTCGGAAGAGCAGATTCAACGATTCTTTTTCAGAAGTAAAAGGAATAATGAGAGAATGAGGAATTTTTCAATTTTTTCATAGGCATTTTGTCTTTCTTTTCTATCACCAATTCTCATTAAATATTCACAAAAAGCGGGATCTGTTTTCGCACACATATTCTCTGATAGTTGTAATTTTTTAAGTTGATTCCAAATTTCAGAGCACAATAAACTTTCACGAATAAAATCTTCCTTTTTTTTACTACGAATTACGGGAAGAATTTGTCTAAAATCACCACCGAAGACAACTACCTTTCCACCAAATAGTATATTAGTTTCCATTAGATCTCTTAAAAGCAAATTGAATGCTTCTACCGTTTCCTTTTTGCCAATGAAATTTCATCCCATACAATTAGTTTTGCATCTCGTATTAAAGACGCTAATGAACTTTGCTTACTAATATTGCAGCTGAAATTCTCATTAACATCAATGAAAATTTTAAAGCGGGAATGAGCAGTTCGACCTCCAGGAAGAAGTGAAGCTGCAAGACCGGAACTTGTAGTTGCTAAAGCTATAAATCCTTTGTGCCTCACAGTAGCTAATAAAGCACGATATAAAAAGCTTTTACCAGTTTCACCGGGGCCGTCAATAAAGAATGCCCCTGGTCTATTTAAAAATATTCTGTCAAGAATCATATTTTAAGCTCTTCTTTGTTCAATGTTTAATTTATTTTCTAACATTAAATCTTGCTCGATAACAATGATGCTTCTTTCGAAATGAATATCTTTAGCTTCTTTTGCTATTGCAGATGGCTTTATCATTTATGAAATTAGTTCAAATTTATTAATATCACGGCCCATTGAATGAAGAATATTGTTAATATGGTTTAACACTTCGTAACGAATTTCTCTTGCATCTATATTCAATTTTTTTTTTTGAAATCTTCAGACATTGGATTTTCAAATTATTTCCATAATTCTCTTGGATTAGTTGGATTACAATAGATTAATAAGATAGCAAATAATTATCTTAAACTTGACGGCATTTGATAACTTACAGCTTCAGACATACATTATACCAAATTGTTATCACAAAGTAATAATCCTTTTTTTTTCTGCAGCTTTTCTAAATGTTTTACATTGTACTCCATTTACAATTCGCAAATCTTTATATGATTTTGGTCCTCTCACATTCATTAGAAGCAGTCTAAGATAGTATCTTTCCACTTCAGTTGGATGACATGTCACCACACGATCAATGGAACTTCCTCGTTGATGATGTGTCCATGTTTTTTCTGTTGTTGACCATACAAAATATTCTGAAAATTCTCGATATAATAAATTTAAGTCCATAGCATCTTTGTTTTCTCGATTCATTAAAAATAACTCAGTTAACATTATTTTCTTAACCATAGGATTGTTCACAATTTTACTAATATTGCTTGTATTCTTGAAAGAAACAAGTTGTTGTCCATCAAGATGTAGCTGAAGATGATATACATTTGGAAATATTTCACTAATAGAGAAAGAAAATATACGCCATGCTGCCTCAGGTGGTGACACCCACCTAGCAGATTAGTATTCCTTTATTTCATCTATTTCTATGTTTGTATCATTAGCATGTATATGAAATGCAATTTTATCATGTCCTTTGCAAATATACTTATAAATGTACTTAACAACTTTAATATCAGAGCAAATCTCTACATTCATATGGTAGTTGAACTTACAAAGTAAATATGGATTATAAGGAACAACCCATGAATTATCAAGAAGGTGTCCTCTTATTTGCACTTTCTTACCTGTGTTTCGTCTTCTATAAATTGGATCCTAATTTTTTCCTTTAGTTGTTTGTTCTGCAAACTCTTTTGGATACTTAAATTTACAGTGACCTTTTTTTTTCATTCAAGAATTTGTTGGATTTAATTCTCTGCATGGACCGTGCATCATGTGATCTATAACAAGTGAATATAGTGTAGGATTTTCTTTTTTATCCGGTAATTTAGCACATACAAATCGGTGTAACGACCCGACCGGTCATTTTGAATATTATAATCCCATTTCTCTATTTACTGCTTAATTTATGCCTTACTATTGATTTATGACGTATCGAGTTAGTTGGTTCGGGTCCGGAAGAAATTCGGAATGAAATGAGACACTTAGTCTCATAATTGAAAAATTTAAGTTAGAAAAGTGGAGTGGATATGGACCTATGTGTAAATGACCTTGGATTTGAATTTTGATGATTCCAATAGCTCCGTATGGTGATTTTGAACTTAGGAGCGTGTCCGAAAATTTTTTTGGAGGTCCGTAGAGTAATTAGGCTTGAAATGCCGAAAGTTGAATTTTTGGAAAGTTTGACCGGGGGGTTGACTTTTTGATATCGGGGTAAAAATCCGATTCTGAAAATTTTAATAGGTCTGTTATATCATTTATGACTGGTGTACAAAATTTGAGGTCAATCGGACGTGATTTGATAGGTTTCGGCGTTGTTTGTAGAAATAGAAAGTTTCAAAGTTCAATAGGCTTGAATTGGGGCGTAATTCATGGTTTTAGCATTATTTGAGGTGATTTGAGGATTCAACTAAATTTGTATGATGTTTTAGGACTTGTTGGTATATTTGATTAAGGTCTTGAGGGCCTCGGGTGAGTTTCGGATGGTTAACGGATCAAAAGTTTAACTACAACAACTGCTCCAATTTCCTTATGTTGGAAATTTCTTCTGCCAGAATCGAGCCCAGAAAATCGAACCCAAATAAATCGAGCCCAGAAAAATTGATCCTAGAATTGAGCCCAGAATCAAGGACGATCGAGCCCAGGGTCGAGGGCCACGATCGAAGACAGGGTCGAGGATCAGGCTCGAAGCCACGATCGAGCCCAAGGTCGAGGGCCACGATCGAAGGCAGGGTCGAAACCAGGGTCGAGAGACATGATCGAGGGCTAGGATCGAGGGTCAGAATCGAGGCCCAGGATCGAGACCCAAGATCGAGGACCTCGATCGAAGGCCAAGATTGAGGCAGTCTAGGCAGAATTATAAATTAGGGACTTCGTCCCATTCGCCATTTTTGCCAAATTGGAGCTTGAGGAGAGGCATTTTTGATATATTTTCAAGAAAAACTTGAGGTAAGTCTCTTGTGATCATTTCTACTCCATAATATTAAATTATCATCGAATAATCCGACTAGATTACATGATTTTGAGGTGTAAATCGGAGATTGGAACTTAGAAATTTGGAAATAAGATTTGTAGATTTGAAAGTCGAGTTGAGGTCGGATTTTGGTAAAATTGGTATGGGTAGACTCGTGGTTGAATAGGCTTTCTGATTTTATAAATTTTGTTGGGTTCTGAGACGTGGGCCCACAAGCGATTTTTGAGCTAAATTTCAGATTTTTATGAAAAATTAGTATTGTTTTATGGAATTAATTTCAATAAATTTTATTGACTGAAACGAATTATTTGTGACTAGATTCGAGGCATTCGGAGGCCGATTTGCGCATTCGG